AAAAATAAGCCCTCCCCCAAAAATAAGCCCTCCCTGAAAATATTGCAGTACAGCAGCAGCCATGAGGTGATCACGTTCATTGCCTCCTGCACCTCAAAAATAATAAGACCTCCCCGAAAATAAGGCCAAGTGCTTATTTTTTTGGGGGGGGTCAAAGGAAAATAAGACCCTGTCTTATATTTGGGGGAAAGACGGTACTGTTCCTTAAACCCACCTCCTTAAGCCACAAAGCAGGATTTGCCTCTGAAAATGGTCCATCCAAGCTGGTCTTGATCGTTCACGAATATCACGGGATGCTCGCATAATTCACATTATAATTACGATAGCCCCAAGACACTAATTTAGCTCCATTTTATACTAACTACATGTTGGTATTGTTAAGGTTTATGACCCAATGATTCACAAGGCATGATACATCTACATTCAATTTGGATGTATTGATTGTTTAACTGTCAGGGAATTCCTCCTTAGTTCTAAGTTGCTTCTCTCCTTGATTAGTTTCCACCCATTGCTTCTTGTTCTATCCTCAGGTGCTTTGGAGAATAGTTTGACTCCCTCTTCTTCTGAGATCTTGGAACACTGCTATCATGTCTCCCCTGGTCCTTCTTTTCATTAAACTAGACATACCCAGTTCCAGCAACCGTTCTTCATAAATTTTAATCTCCAGTCCCCTAATCCTCTTCGTTGGTTAGGCAACTGGAGGCTAAAACATAGAAGAGTTGCTCTAAGGCAGGAGTGAGCAATCTGTGGCTCTGGAGCCGCATGTGGCTCTTACATCCCTCTGCTGCGGCTCCCTGTTGCCGGTCGGCTCCAGATAGGGCTTCTGATTAGGACAGATAGAGAAAAAAGGATGCCGCGCTAGGAGGAGACTCTACGGTGGGGGAGCCGGACTCCAGAATTGAATGGCGGGCTTCCGGTTAGGACCTTTGTAGCTCTTTGAGTGTTTAAGGTTGCCGACCCCTGGTCTAAGGTCTCAGAAAGATCCAGAGACTTCGTTGCAAAGCACAAGTTGGCGCTGCCCCAAATGTTGCTTGCCCGGACAAAACAGGGCGCTAGAAGAATATGTCCCTTGCCCCCCCACCCACCCCAGCACCATGACATCAAGAATTAAATCAGACGCCGAGCCCTGAATATTGGGGGCCTTCTTTATGCCTCCCTTAGTCCTGGCTTTGGCATCTAGAGCAGTGGGGATTGGTAAAGGAAGATCTCCTTCCGTGCTAAAAGTTGTTACGGCTTTATAGGGCGGTTTTTAATGTGCCCTCTGCATCCGTGCATTGCAAAGTGCACCTCTTGTCATTTTCTATTACTTACAGTTGCAAATGGTTCCTTACCGGGCTGGCGTGGATTCCTTGCTGTTACATCAGTGGTGATATAACAGCGCCGACCTTCAGAATTAATTAGCACTTCCAGTACATTTTCCCCAACGTTCTGCTTTTTCTGTTGAGTTAGGCTCACAACTGGGGGTGGGCTGGGATGGAATTGGCCTTATCTGGGTGTGTTTCGATTGAAGGCTTCTCCTTAAGGAAGCCTGGCAATCTTTGAAAGCCAT